GTGAACTGCCTCATTTTGATCGTGCCAAATTGTTAGTGAGAAGTAATGTGGTGACAAATGCAATTAACGAGTTGGGAAATGTAATTATTCAAAATGGTTTGGAAAGAGCAGTTGGTGTATGTTTGTTGCACAAACATTTTGATGTGAAGAGTAATGAAATTTTATTAGAAACAAATCACGATAACACATCGAAATTAGCACCTGTTGCCAGTAGCAGCATCAAAGACGAAGTGTTGCCATACATGTGGAAGATGGGTAAAGATATGTGCTGGAGTCCACTGGAATTTGTTTATAATACAGAGCAAAACAAAGATGCATTTGGAAAGGTTATGCAAAATGAAGGTTTTCTTCGTACAGTTGGAATGATCATGCTACAGTTAAAGGTAAATTTAAAAAAATCAATTATCGGCAATTTGAAGCTGAACAGATTATCATTTAATTTTTTTTCCTTCAATGAATAGGTCGATGATATCCTTGGTTTAAGTTTATTACATCGCGATCATATTAGTGGTGCTGCAGGTGGTACAATGGAAACTACCAACGAAATTAGCCGTGAATTGACGGTTGTTCCATTAGATAAAACTGTCAAATGTGACCATCATGAAACAGTGCAAACACTATGGAAATTTGGAACCAGACAAATGGATGAGGATGTCTGTAATCACTGTATGCATTGCACACACACTACTTCCGGATGAAAAAGGCAGTTGCCATAAGTATAACATTAATTCTTTGATCTTTAAAAATTCTTACTTCTCTTGCACCCTTTTTCTCTGCTTTACCCTGTTGTAGTGTCTCCTCAATATCTTCTTGTAGTGTTTATTTTTGATGATAAAAACGGAAGGATTTAAATAAAGGCTTTAAAACTAACGTGGGAACGCCCCCAACTGCACCCTTGCTTTTTGCGTACAGACATGTAAATATAGGTAATCAATCATGCTGATTCCGAATATCACAGTAAGAGAACTATCCGAACCTTTGAAGACCGGTTTTTTAGCGAAAAATTCTTTTTCGTCGGGCGCAATTGTTCTAGATCAATTGGTTATACGAAAAACAAAAGCTACATTCATTTTGAAAAATCAACCTGCTACAGGCAGTATAAATCCTTTATTCGAGATGATATTTAAGAAGTTTTAATGTTATTTAATGGAAATGATATTCAATAAAGAAATGATGAACACAAATCATTTTGTTACACCAACTACATTTACATACTCATCGACATCTTCTGTTTTCTGTCGTTTTGCTCTTTGTTGTGCAAGATATTTACGAAACCGTCGAACATATGATCTATCTGGAAGAGCTGTAAATTTTCGATGAACGCCTTTCCACGAACGACCACGTTTACTTGATGAATTTCTTTCTTCAGCATAATCATCTACTTTTTGCATAAAGTCAATTGAATGGCAAAAGCGTACCCCATAATCTGAAGTATATTTTCGTCTATTCTAATCTCGAAAATGATCACTTTTGTTTTTTTACCTAACGTCCACCTGATTATCCACCGTGGTGGGGTGTTCGAGTAGCCTTGACTTTTAAAAAATTCATAGCTTACTCAAAACAACATCAGAACGAGTTGAAAACCTCAGGATCTGCTTTTTATTGTCCGTTAAACGTGATCATACGATCGAAAGAATTGAAAGACCATATTTTTGATCAAAAGCTCTCCAGTAAATCTTTTAGAAGACCATAGGGTTTTGTAAATTCTTTTTGTGGGGATTGACTTGTGAATTTTTTCAATATTAGGTGAAAGTCATATAGTTGTTCAACTATTGTCCATCCAAAAAAAGAACGGCACATAACTGTTTTTTGAATAAGTTTTGATAGAAAAGAACTAGAGAGCTCTGGTTTCCACCATTCGAAAGAGGAGACTTGGGGACATGTTTCAATAACCAAAAAGTTTTCAGAAGAATTTTTCTGAAACAGGTTTTCGAGGAGTTCTTTGGAAAGCCAGGCCATGTGCAGTCATTATTGTCTATCTTTCTTAACATGGTTGTCGATATATAATAGCAATGTGCTTAGTGAACTGCTTCATTATGATCGTGCCAAAACCATTCTTATTCTTAGTTGATGTGTTTTTGCTTCACATTAGCGAAAATTTTTGCTAGTGTTTTGAAGAATCATATTCTGCTGAAATTTAGGAAGATCTTTTCTCATTAAACGAGAAATATTGCGGCGTTCCCTAGACGAATATGTTGCTGGGCTTTAGCTATTATTTTTCGTTCGACATGAGAGATTTCTTGAATCTCAAAACCTCTAGCAGTTCAG